GGGAGGGAGGGAGGGAGGGAGGGAGAGAAGAAAAGAAGACAGGAATCTGCTGTACTGAAACTGCCAACAGCTGCCTGAAGTACAATTGGAACTGGCTGAGACATACTTGATTTGCTTAAAACTTAGTTAATCGATAATAAAAAAAAATCATTGCTTGGGGTAAAGATGCTATGGTTGGAGAAATAACACAAAGGAAAATATTTGATTACTTGTGGGCTCCTAAGGAAATCATGTAACTTGTGATCCTAATAATGGTTTCTTCCTGTGTAAAGACTTTTGTTTCTGGAAACTATGTAATGTGTGGTAGTAAGGTAATTTCTTCTTGCATAGAAGTATTTGTCTCAGGCGGCATGAAAAGGACAGGAGAAAAATAGAGACAGGAGAAGATGAAGAATTAACCTTTGCTCCCTGAGTTACATCTTAACTGTGCTTAGTAGCACTGCCCATCATCTCCTCCACTTTCTCCCCCTGCTGAAGCTTGACTTCGGCAACAAATTAAATGTTTTTTTTTTTGTAAGTTGCCTTTGTTACAGTGTCTCTTCACAGCCACAGAACAGTAACTATGGTTTCTAAGATCTGACCCCAGATTCCCCTGCTGTTTTCATCTCTACCTCTCTCTCTTTCTCAGTGGGGTATGCTCACTGAGACCGAGTTATGAATGTCACCAATGAGACCCTGTGTCTTGGGTCATCTAGTATATATGGCCCAGGGGTTGCAGACAAATGTGGAGAGGAAACCCTTGCTATGACTGTAGCATCCCATACCGAAGGACCAACTCTCTCACAACCCCATATTGAAAGAGATTGTTCTTACCATTTGTCTTCTATTCTCCACCAGGTGGATGCCAACGATGCCCAAGAAGGACCCAAAGCCCAGCTGAGAGGAAAGGAAGAACAAGAGAGAGATGTCTGGTTAGTGTCATACTGGCCTATCACAGTTAACAAGGCCCCTTGGGCTGACGAGATGGCCTACCACATAAAGACACTTGCTAACAAGCCTGATGACCTGAGTTCAGTCCCCAGGACCCACATGATAGAAGGAAAAGAACCAATTCCTCTGACCTCTACACATGACCTCCATACATACAAAGTAAAAATAATTTTTAAATATTTAATAATTCACCCTTAAAATATTTTGTCCAGTTGGGTATGGTAGCTCATACCTGTTATCTTAGCACTTAGGAAGCTGAGGCAGGAGAATGGCCAACTTGGGCTACCAAACGAAACACTGTCTTTAAAAAACAACTAAAAATAAAATTAAATACTTTGTTGGGAGAAGGGTGTGGCCACTCCCACCTTAGGGAAGCACCACACAGCATGGAGTTACTTTCCCTAGAAAGGGACAGCACACCCACCCAAGCCTGTTCGCGGGGCAGCATGCCCACCCAAGCCTGTCTGTGAGACAGCACGTCCACCCAAGCCTGTTTGCTGGTGGAACAGAGGCAGAAGCTGATGCTTCCATGAGATCAGTTCAACTTTTGGACTCAGTCTTGGTAGGGACTTTTGTAGGGACCTCACACTGAGCTTCAGACATGCCCTCTCTGGCCAGTCCAAGAAAGACAGAGAGAATTTTGGCAGCTGAACTTTTGGGGTTTCAGCAGAAGAAATGTTACGACCAAGACCCTGCCCACACTGAAGTCTTCAGACTGAAGCAAGGACAGCCAGTAGGCTGGGCATGGAGAAAGACAGCATGGAGGTTTGGGGTCCAGGAGCTCTCCCGGACAGAGGCACAGTCAGGGGTTAGAGTCGTATGCTCACACCTGTCCTCATCTTAAAGCTGGGGAAGTAGCCCTGAGTTCCAGTGGTGTCTGTACACACTGCTCTGGGCCTGTGCTACTCTGAGGGGGTCAATTGCTGGCTCAGGAGGCCCTGCCCATCTTTTTTAAAGATTTATTTATTATGTATACAGTATTCTGTCTGCTTGTATGCCTACAGTGAAGGAGAGGGCACCAGATCTCACTACAGATGGTTGTGAGCCACCATGTGGTTGCTGGGAATTGAACTCAGGACCTCTGGAAGAGCAGCCAGTGCTCTTAACCTCTGAGCCATCTCTCCAGCCCGGCCCTGACCATCTTGTCTCTGAAGAATGGTATCTCTCCAAGTACTAAGCTTCTGAGGGCCTCATTCCTTGCCCACAGTTCACAAATGTCAGAGTTATACTAAATTTAATACTTTTGAATGTGACTTTTTGCCAAAAATGATGATTTCTCATTCCCAGGCCTCTCTCCTCCTAGATGGCCAGCACCCTCAGCTCTGCTGAGTGCAGGGTCTATCTGAGTCAACTTTTACTCCAGTTTCTCTAATTTCACTATTGTCCCCACGAAGATGCAAAGTCCGAGACAAAGCTAACTCTGGTGAATACAGTGTTAGTTCATCTCTCGGGAAAACATCTCCTTTCCTATTACCTCAGAAATACTGTTATGTTGGGATGTAATCTTCTGGTGGTTAGCTTTATCATCTCGTCACAGGGAAGAGTCTCGAAGAAGGGGTGTCTACATGGGGTTGGCCTGTGGATGTTGTCAGTAGGAGACTGGACTATTTGATGTGGGAAGACTCAGCCCATTATGGGCAGCACCATTCCCTAGAAAGGAGGTCCTGAACTACATGAGGAGAAAGGAATCGAGCTGGACATGATCAACAGGAAGACATCATGTGCCTATTTCTCTCTGCTCTTGACTGCAAATGTAATGTGACCAGCTGCCTCACGCTCTCGTTACTATGACCTCCCCACAACAGCGGCCTATAAGCTGAAGTGGTGAGCTAACGTAACCCCTTCCTCCCCTCTGTTTTATTCCATCAGGGTGTTTTGCCACAGCAACAAAGAATGAAAACTAGGACTTCCTGGCGTGAGACTCAAACAAATAGAGTTGGAGGGAAGCAACCAGCAACCGCTAGAGGCTAATCTTCATGTTTTTCATAGAATCGGAGATGCTGCACCTAGCTCCTGAATATCAGAATTCCCTCTCTGCCCAAGGGAATGCGGCAGAAGATCCTCGTGTAAGGCTAGCATCTCTTGTATGGACTTCATGCAGTGTTACAGTGAAACTTTCACATAGTGTTATCTGAATTACAGCCAGGTGGATAACATGACTCACGTGTGTAAATAAAGAACGATCTAAAGATAAGATGGACAGTAAAGTACGTTTAGACCCTGAGGCTGAGAGACTGCCTTGCTGACAATTTTGATTCTGTCACTAGAGTCATTTACCCTCCTGAGGGAAGTCAGAAGTCAGCACAGATATACACGTCTTTCTCAACAGTGGCATCATGAACAACAGCCTCAATCCATGTCCTCCCCAGGGGGCTCTCAAAGCCACTAGCCCATCTTCCAGGAATTAGGTTGGGGCTGCTGCATGTGTTAATGTCCAGGGGCAGGACGGCTGGTCTTTCGGGGATCTGAGACAGTTTTTCCATCTCTTCGGACTTCTCCAGACTCTGGTCCTTTTCAGCTTCAGACCCTTCCCTGCTTTCACCGTGGAACCTTATGTGGCCCCGAATCCACCCTACCTTCACCACAGCACACGCTCCTCCCACCCCCTCTACTTCCAAGGCCCTGTGACAACATTGGCCCACCAGCACGGTGCAAGACAATGGCCTCTCTTAGGGCCCTCTGACCAGCAGCCCTCAGTCCTCCCCCTTCGCTGAACACTCTCAGATACTAAGTATTAGGCTGGGGTTATTTTTCCTAGGATGGTGGCCCCCTCCCACCTGGAATAGCAGGAAATTTGTCTCTCCACATAGAACACCCTGAATCTCCTACTCAGTCCCCCAGAGGCCTTTGACTTACGATGATCCCTGGGTAGTAGCCGCCCACAGTCACATTCTCTGTCCTGGTGGTGGCAGCAAGGCCGATGGTCAGGATGAGGGTGGACACCAGCAGCAGGGAGCCCACAAACCACAGCGAGATCTTCTTTCTCCTCGCAAAGCCCTCTATGAGGAGGAAAAGAGGGGGTGTTAGTGCACTGGGTGCGAATTCCCCACTACAGTCCGGGCCCAGTCATTTGGAATTGTGGGAGCTCCATATCTGTCCTCTACCAACAAAAGGAAAACCTGGTCCCCGCTGTGCCAGGAAGACGAGCAGTCAGGGGTCATGGCCTGAGGCTGGGAGAGAGGCTTGTCTTCATCCGTCTCAAGTCCAAGGGGAGAATGATTTCATGGGGAATGGAGGGGGTGCCATGAGTGTCGGAGGAAGCTGTACCCCAGCTGTGGCACCCTCTTGTCAGCCTCTGGGGTTTCTGGGTGCGGACCCACCCGCCCGACTAGAAGGTTGCACCTGCAGCTATAGGCTGTGAGATTGAGCCCTGCACTCGCTACAGCTCAGCAGAGATTGCTATCTCTGGGAGCCGACTCTTCCCCTAATGATCTGGAGGGGCTGAAACAGCTTTTCTACTGAACACCTGAACCACAGGCTACAGCCAAAACCAAGTGAGAAGGCTGAGTTTAGCTCTGATCCAGCCAGGCATTTGACCAATCATGACAAACAGAAGTGGGATGGTGGAAAAGTCGGTGACCTTCTTAACTCCAGAGTCCTAACAAGTCAACATTTTGAGTGTGTACACACAGGCGTATATTCACACTCACTTGTGCCTCTATGTGTGCACGCACGGCATGGTGCCTGCTTCCTCAGAAGTGGTTTGCCTACCCAGGTACATCCCCCTTTCAAATGGCCACTGCATCTGAACGGGCAACTCTTCACTCTGAGGGATTCTCATTTGAGGATTTCACACATCCTTGATCCCACCAGTGAAGAAGCTTCACATGGGTCAAGGTTGTGACACCTAAGAAAGGGACTGTTACAAGCTCAAGACATAAATTCTCAGAACCACAGATGACTGCTCACACTCCAAATGACCCGACCAACCGGAGAAAGGCTTTTATCTGGCTGACCCAGCAGTAAGACTCCATTCCAGAGGTCCTGCTTATCACTCTCCAGCGTTCTCACCCTTCCTCCAGACTGGGGTGTGGCAGATGCCTTCTCAGAACCTTATCCTAAATCACCCTTCAACCCTACAGAGGGACCAGATCTACCATTTCCCAATACAGTAATCACTGGCCCCCAGGAGCAGGTCCCCAAGGTTGTAGAGGATGGAACTCCTGTTAACCAGGCTCTTTAAGTCCTGGCCTCAAGTATGGGTCCGTTTCCCCTTCCCACTCCCAATTCCCACTGTTTTGCCTCTGAGAGAAAGGTTTATGTCCAGAGTGGGACCTTTGTTTGTGCCTCTCACCGTATGGGCTACTTGACTATCACCTGTAGAAACACCACACGTGTGCACTCAGCCCTGTACTATTTCCAAGCTCATTCTCACACTCATTCCACACTGAACTGTTCATTACGTACAGATGCTTCTGAATCCCAGACACACTGCCATGGTCACGAGGTGAATCCTGCCCCCATTGGAAGCTTTTATTCTTGGGAGAGAAGACTAGCATATATAAGATGAGCCACGGTATACACAGGCTTTATAAAGTGCCAAATTCAATCGCAAAATGAGGCAGGGCGGGGGGAGGGGAGGGAGAATTCAGGAAAGAGTGTGAAAACATCTTTTAGGAAATGAGGCCCTGAGGTGTTTGGGATTCTGTCCAGCACTGGGTCCAGATGGCCTTGAGAAAGCCCTGAGGTTGGTGCACGGCAAGTGGGCAGCCTGGGTGCTGAAGGACCAGGGAGCTGGAGAGACCAACGTACATAGCCGGGTGAGCAGGAAGGGAGAGACTCTGACTCTACTTTCTCCTACATCCACAACGCCTGGGTAAATTTAGGAGAAGAGAGTCAGGCTGAATGGAATCCACCCCGGAGGGCTCAGGCCTGTGAAGGTGTGTGGGTAAGCCAGTGGGAAGCAAAAGGAACACTCTTCTTTGGAAACTGCAGGAACAGGGCGCAGATCACCCTTAGCAGAACAAGGGAGAAGGCTTTGAAGCAACTTCTGACTTATCCACAATGCCCACAGCCCTACCAAGAGGCCAACACCTGTACACACTCAGCCTCGGGAGCAAGGAAAGGGGCTGGGGCCAAGTGAGTAGGCAGGGCCTAACTACCACCTGGTCATGCCTAGCAAACAAGTGCTAATGAGCCTTAGGTATATGGTGAACCACACAGGTGCTTCCTCACCTAAAGGGTTTTACTTCCCCCCTTTTCCCCTCAGTGCGTTGCATACCAACTACATTCCAAACAACCAGTAATGATCCAGCAGACCTGGGGGGACCCTTCTTGCAGAAACATCTTTCACCTGGGGCGGCACCAGCCCATGGCACCCTGGACCATGTCCTCCTTTGTGTTCGGCCATTAGCATGACATCCTAGTCTAGTGACACTTAGCATTGTTGGGCTAACGGTTTCTGACCTGAAAAATGCCACTTGACCAAAGGTCTAGCTCTTGAGACCATACTTTAACCCATTCGTGTCCCTGAATTGAGGCAGGAAGAGAAGCCCCAGCCTGGAGGACAAGATTCAGCAAGGCTCTTCATCATGACCTTGGTGCCTACAGGGCCTGAACCCTCAGAGTGGGGTTACTCCTCTGGGGCCTACTGTGATGGCCTGGGTCCCTAGTCTCAGGTATTGGGGATGCTGAGGTACAAGGGTCATTCGAGCCTGGGGATTTGAGATGAGCCTGGGAGATCCCATGAGGGCCTATCCTATCGCAGAGGCAAAGTGTTCCCAAGTAGCACAGAGCTGGACACTGCCCAGCCACCAGGTTCTGATTTTATATCTAACACTGCTCCGGGCTGTAAACAAAGAAGCTTGAGTATAAAAATCGTCGCAGCCTGGAGCCACCCAGGCCGGTAGTGGCTGTTAAGACTGTCTTAATAAAAGACTCCCACAGACCATTTTAAAGTCTGGAGTTCCTTATTGGAAGGAAAGGGTAAGCCAGGAGCTGCCCTTAACCCCAAGTCACCCTAGCACAGCAAGGGGGACAGCCGTTAGAACAGCTGCCAGTCAACACTAGCTAGCTAGATGCTTACTGGGAAATGAGCGAATGACAACAGAGCGTCCGGCCTTAAAGAGAGGGCACAACCATCTCTTAGAAGCCAGATTCCTTAATTATTATCTAATAGCATACCAACCTGGCTTCTGAAGACTCCCCGAAAGTGTCTCAGTGAAGGGTGGAGGCTATCACCTGGATTCTTAACCATGAGGCATCATCCAGAGCTCCCCCTTCTCCACCGATCCCTTAATCCCATGGCCTAGGGTCACCCAAGGTAGAAAGTCTTTTCTGCTCCAAGTCTCTCCCACCCTCTGCCCTCCTGGAACAATGCCTGGCACCCCTCCAGGGCCTGGCTACCTCCCAGAGGAGCACCCAAGCCCAAGCCAGGAGAGCCAGAGACGGCAACAGGTTTCCTGGTTTCCCAGAAGGACCTGGCTTCAGCTGCCTCGGGCTTTCTGTGGGAAATCACACAAAGATGGAATGGCCGGGGAATGAGGCGGTTGGAAGCCCTGGAAGCCCTCACTTAACTTCCACTAAACACCACTAAAATGCCCTGAGCACCTCTCAGGCAGGAAGAGCTCCCTGGTTCTTTCAAGCAAGCATTTCCCAGAAGAGTTTAGAGACTGAAATAAATACAGTAGGACTGGGAAGCTGTGGGTTCGGGATGGCGACGCTTATTAAGTATTCAGGTCCGTTAATAAAAAGAGTAGGGGGCAGAAACAGGTGTGCAGCATAGACAGATGTGCAGCAGAAAGATGAGGTGGCCCTGCCACATGACCTGAACCCCCAGCCCCAACCCCAAGGGAGTCCTGTGCCCAGAGCCCTGAGCTGTGTCAGGAGTTCCCTTACCAGCTAGAGACTTGTAACTCAGGCCCCCAAATCTCCTACTGGTGGTGGATATCCCAGGGGCTGTCAGCTAACCTGTGGTATCCAGAAGGGCCAGAGGGCCTGGCACAGGAGGCGGGAGCGGCTGCATTCCCCAAGTGCCCTCCGCTGGGAGGGCAGCGCTCTGAGGCGGCCACTTGGAGGCTTCTGTCTGGTTAGGTTTCAGGAGGCCCAGGAGCAGCAGCAGAAAACCGCAGCCCTGTGTCTGCTCTTCTCTACCTCTACTATCTTCCTCTCTCCTTTGGTCATTTCCCCTCTCCCTCCACCACCACCCCTCGGCCCTCCCCTACACCTCCCTTCCTCCCTCCTAGGTCCTGGTGCCTGTGGCTCCTCCTCCCGTTTTCTATTCCCCCCCTCCCCTCCCCTTCTTTTCCCTCCTCCCCCCTCTTCTCTTTCCAGTCTCCAGCCCCTGGAAATCAGAGTCTAGGAAAAGATCCTGAGCTGCCTCTGCCAGAGATGGAAGGCCGACCCAGTGAGGAGGGGTGTACCTGAAGAAATTGGCCTGGACCCAGCCCTCCATCAGAAGTGCCACGGAGGGAGAACTAGGTGGCCCAGATGGAGGGAAGCAGAGAAACTCGGCAGAGGCAGAGCAAGGATTCTACACCGGTGCAGGAGAGGACTCCACTCCTGGCTACTTCAGACCCCCAGTGAGTTGAGCCCTCCCACCTCGGTCATTAGGAAAACACTCTGCAGGCGTGCACACAGGTGATGTGATGGAGGCTGAGGCCCTGGTGGGTCTGTGGTGCAGTGTGGAAACTCGGGTTCTGTGGTGGAGCATGCCCCTGCCTGGCACAGGGGCTGTGGAGCCTTGGGGATGCTCTCTGGCTACCCCACTCCCATCAAGACTTTAGATCCACGGGGGGGGGGGGGGGGGGGGGGGGGG